CGGGGGGGGGGGGGGGGGATACGGCGCAGTTCAGGGGGCGTCGTCTGGACGGGTGGTGCTGATGGGTGCGTTGGAAACAGAGGCTACATGGAATGGATGCGCAGCTGAGGGCCAGGCGGCGTGCCCGGCGGCAGCACCTGCCACCCAGCTCCCAGCACCCAGCACCCGGTACCCACCACAAGGCACCCAGCACCCACCACCTCAGCACCCACCACCTACCACCTGCCACCCCAGCACCCACCAACCCTAAAAGCACCCACCAACCCTAAACGCACCTGGTACCCGTAGGATGCCACGTCTGTCTCGTCGTCCTGGAAGGGGTCCCAGGAGGCCGCCAGCGCATTCACCTCAGTCTGCAGGCAGGCAGGGGGGCAGGGGGCGGTCAGGCGGCGGGTGGCGAGCGGGGTCAGAGCTCCTCCACACCAGCGGGAGCGCTGCAGCGGCGTGCGCAGAGTGGCGGGACGGGCCCAGCCGTGGATGGGAGCCCTGTGCCCTGCCGCTGCCACCTCCACGCCGGCACCCCCGCCAGATCAGGCGCCGGCCGCCCGTACCGCACCAGAACCGCACCTGCACCGCCTGGTTGGTGAAATCCTGCCCGCTGTACACGGAGGAGCCGTCGGGAAGGTACGGCGGCGTGGTGTCTGCCACCACCGGCTGGCTGCTCAGCATTGTGCCCAGCTGCTGGCCTGCAGGGGCGGCGGCGGCGGCGGCACAGGCCAGGGCAGGGTGCAGAGGCGTGGAGAGGCCTGACGCGAGGGAATCAGGACGCACAGCGAAGACCGCGGTCTCACGGCCGCAGCGCAGCGCGGGCGGCAGCAGAGAGGGTTGGCTGCACCCGACCACTCCGCCCCGCGCACCCGCGTCGTTGCTGCCCTGTACCGTCACATAGTACTGCTGCCCTGGTGTGAGGGAGATCTGGTTGAGGGGCCACTCCACCTGGTACACGCGCTTCACCACGCCGCCGGCGGGGGTCTGCGGCAGGAGGTCAACGCAACTGGGACGGTCAACGCAAGGGCAATGCGAGGTCAACGCGACGCCAACGCGACGCCAACGCGACGCCGACACAGGGCCAACGCAAGGGGACTGGTGTGCTACCAGCAGGCCACACGCTGGTGAGGCGAGATGCTGCCAGCGCGGCACGCGTGGGGGCGCTGCCCTGCCCGCGAGCGCTGCCGCGAAGCCGGCGGCGGCGCCAGGGCAGCTCGAGCGGCTGATCTGCATGCGCCCAGCCTTTGCCCTGCCACGGCCCTCACCAGCACTGTCTGTGTGGCGTTGGTGCCGGCCCATTCCTGCCAGTCCAGCACGTCCCGCCCCCACCGTGTCGTGCCCAGCGCCCAGCGGTACCGCACGGTCCCGCCCCCCACTACAGGCGGCAGGGCGCAGCGCTCAGGCCGGCGGCGTGGGCGGCAGCCGGGCCGTGCGGGCGGGCCAAAGTCGGGGCCGGCCGCACCCAAGGCAACACGGCAGGCAATGCCAGCCAGGCCCAGCCGCCGCAACAGCACGCCGCAGCCGCACAGGCCACCCGCACGCAGCAAGGAGACTGCAGCCAGGGCCAGCCAGCGGGGCCAGCCAGCCAGGCAGGGCCAGCCAGGGCCAGCAAGGCGGCGCGGCAACGGTGCACTCACGAGGGGAGTGGAAGGATGAGAAGGCGAACGATATGGAGGATGTGTTGGTGAAGAAGGGCGGGTCGGGGCGCAGGAAGCGGCAGCCCAGGTCGGGCTCGCAGGTGGGCGGGTCCACGCCGCAGTAGCCGCCTGCTTGTGTGTGTGGGGAGGGGGTGGGGTGGGGTCAGGGGAGAGCACAGGAGCAGGGGTGACAGTGGGGTGGGGCGCCAGCCCGAGGGGCGGCAGCCTGAGGGGCGGCACGGAGCACAAGCACGCAGCCCCCGTCTTTTATGTCCAGCCGTCCTGCAGTGGAGACGCAGCACACGCCACGCTGCGTCCCGCCCCCTGCCGCCCCCAGCCCAGCCCAGCCCAGCCCAGCCCACCCACCCATGCCCTTGTCTTGATTGTTGATGGAGTCGATCAGCGAGGTGCCGGCAAAGGAGGCGATGCGGGAGGAGAGGCAGGAGGGCACCTCGTCGCACAGGCCTGCAGGGCGGTGTGTGTGTGTGGTGGGGGTGGGGGGTGGGGGAAGGGCAGGGCCGACGGCTACAGGGAGGGGCAGGGCCGTTGGCTACAGGGCGGGCGCAGCGCAGGAGCACGCCGCACGCCCTCGGCACAGCTCAGCGCCGCTTTCCTCAGGCAGCCAGGCAGCAGGCGATGGCAGGCAACAGCAGGCACCAGCGGGCACAAAGCGGGGCCAGGCCGCCCACCCGCGTTGCCCTCCACATCAAACTGCCACCAGCTGCCGCTGCACCACTGCTGTGGCAGGGCGCCTGCAGGGCAGGGGGGCGCATGCCGGATTGGACAACACTAGCGCCTCACAATGACACCGACGCCGCGGCAGCCGTGCCCCGGCCCCTGCATCTTAACAGCTTACAGCACAGAAGCAAGGAATGGCCTCCACCCACGCACCCACCCACCACACCACCGCGCCCCCGCCGGCAGCTGCCGGGCAGCTCACCCACCTTGGAACTGGTTGTGGTCCAGCGCCACGTACCGCAGGAAAGGGAAGGCTGACAGGTAGGGCGGCAGCGAGCCGGTCAGCCGGTTGCCGCCCAGCCACAGCTGCTCCAGCACACGCAGGCGGGCAAACTGGGGCGGCAGCGAGCCATAGAGGTGGTTGGCGTGGAAATTGAGCACGCGCAGGGCTGCGGAGGTGAGGGGGCGAGGGGTCAGGCAGGCCGGTGAGGGCAGGGAAGGGGTTGGGAGGAGGGCAAGCAAGACCGTCGCTGCAGCACAAGCCCGGCCCGTGGCCGGCGGACGCACGGCAGCGCCGCCGCCGCGCCCGCTGCCCCGCTGCCCGCTGCAGCGCTGCGGGCCGGCTCTGCGTGCTGCCGCTGGCGCTCCTGCAGCCAGCGGGCGGCGGCGCAGCCGCACACACACACAGGCACCCCTCGCGAGGCCGCGGGCGCGCACACGACAGGTTGGCGAGGGCGGGCGAGATGGTGCCGGTCAGCGTGTTCCACTGAGTGATGCGAGGGTCCCCAAAGTTCAGCTGCAGTACGCGCCGGCCGTCGGGCAGCGAGGCCGGCTGCGTGCACACCTGCGCGGCGGCAACGGCGGCGGCGGCGGCGGCGGGGCGGGGCGGTGAGCGCTGCGCGCGTGTGGCTGGCTGCAGGCGCCGGCGGCGGGATGGACCACGCGCACGCATCCCTCCCGCACACTGCGCACTAGCCCGCCCGCCGCGCCTCCTCCTCCACCCCGCCACCACCGTGGCCGCCCCACCTGCGACTGGTTGCCGTCCTGCGGCGCTGCGAAGAAGTCGTGGCAGCTGCAGCGCACCCCCGTCCAGCCGTCCAGGCAGGGGTCTGTGGCGGGCACCCAGGTGGACAGCAGGTCCCCGCCCTCAGCCGTCAAGCCCTGCTTGAACGCCAGCAGCGCGGCCTTGTCCCCCGGGACGATGGCGGCGGACGCGGGACGAGGCGCGGCCAGCGTGGCCAGCACCAGGGCCGCCGCCGCCAGCAGCAGGCGTGCCGGGGCGGGGGCGGGCTGGATGCGGCGGCGGTGGGCGCGCCGCGGCGGCCGCGCGGCTGCCATGCGCGTGCTCGCTGGTGGGCAGCACCTGTCAGCAATCACTCGGCAGCATGGCTGCTCTGGCGCGGCAACAACTGCCTGCAGGGGCAGGAGAGGCAGGGAGCGGCGTCGCTGGCGTCTCCCATCCCCTAGAGCATGGGCGGCGCCTGCCGCCGCCCGTCACCAGCCCAGCCCCTGCACACCGCTGCTGCCTCCCAGTGGAATGGCACGCCTGCCGATATCCCAGGGTGCGCAGGCAAGGGGCTTGGGCCACAGAAAGCGCTGGGCACGCCATGTGGCAAGGCAAGCGGGGCGATCCTGGCCCGTCTAAATGCATGCCAGCATGCTAAAATGACAATCGAGACGCTCTGGGGCGGCGCCGGGCAGCGGAGATGTCGCCTCACCTGTGTCCAACTGCCTGCGAGCGGTCGCCAGGCCCCTTGCCGGCGCTATGCAGCCCTCGACCGCTGGTGTCCTCCACTACGAAGGCAGCCTGCAGCGCTGCCAGAGGACCGAGAATCGGCTGTTGCACACCGGAATCGCGGGCTATCGGCCCTCTCTGTCGCCCAGACCGCAGCGCAGTGGTGTGAGAACGCAATGAGAGCTGTGCTACCGTGCCAGGGCGCATTTAGGCGGCCGTCCAGGACGGCGGTGCCAGCTGGCGCCGGCGCCTGCCAAGGGTGCGTGGCGTATCCTGCCTCCCTGGCGTATCCTGGCAAAGAAACTCACATGGTCATAACACATGCTCAGCATCTATCATGGTGCAACGGATGTAATTTGAGGGAGCCCAGATGGGCGGACAGCTCATCTTGCTTAAGCATGCTTATGCATCCGCTGCCTCCGTCGCTCTTGGAGCAGCTTCCCCCTGCGCCTGCTGCAGCTCGCGCGTCAATTCAGAGGCGACTGACGCTATGTCGAATCGGCGGCCATTCTTCTGATGCATCCTCTGCAGCGCCCTGGCTGGCACCATGCACAAGTCAGTGTACAACTGCGCGTTCAATTTCCCCGAGTGCACCATGATGTTCGACAGCATGGTCTGTGCCTCGGCACTGCACAAGGCCTGTACCACCTTCTTCAGGCCCCCATTGAATACAGCAGTCAGATGAGCACTGCAGCACAGGTGGGGTTGGACAGCCGATCATGGAGGGGCAACTGTGTGGTATCTGCCTCCTTATGAGGCTGCTAGCAGGCAATACACCCTCCTTGCGTCCACACTCTTACGTCTCAGAGTAGATGCACTGCAGCGGCATGTTGACCACGAGCCAGAGTCTCAGCTTAACCCAGTCCATGCAACACTGGGCGGGGGTCGCACGGCGCACAAACACGTCGCTGAGCAGATCGATCATGACGGGGACGCTGGCGACCTCGGCAAGGCTGCAGGCAATTGTGTCGATTGCCCAGTCTCAGAACTGTGCACAGTCTGGGAGCAGTGCATCACCTCAATGGCAGGCACTGCCTGTCAGCGGCAGCGACCGAAAGGCAGGCTGACAGGACTGCGGTATGCATAAAAGGGGCACCTGAGCATGCGGTGCACGCAGGCGGGCGACTTGATTCGCTTGCTGAGGAGGCTGGGGGCGACGAGGCACTGGGCCAGGAGTGGAAAGTCGAAGCGCACTGCGAGCTCCACCACCTGACAGAAGTCTTTGTCAGGTAGAACCTCCACGGAAGCTGCCACCGCATCGCGCACTGCATTCAGTGCAGGCATGGTGTCAGGGTTGCTGGCCAGCAACGTGCATGATGATGTCCGGGCCAAGCGGGGTGAGCGCAGCAAGCAGCAGGATCTGACCTGCGGCGCCGGTGGGCCCAGCATAAACGCCCGCCAGGAAGGCCACCGTGGCGGCCTGGCTTGCAGGCATCTCAATTACACACTTATCCTCGCTGCTCTCCAGCCGCGCCTGGCCCCGACGCAGGCTCGCGCCGCGCAGAACCACGCTGCAGCGCCGCTCAAGAAACTGGCGGTGGGCGGGCAGCTCTGCGCCGTCCTTGGTCTTCAGCACCACGTCTGCCACAGCCGAATTCCGCCTTCTCGCCCTCCAGGTACCTGGGCTGGCTGCCGCTGCCGCTGGTTGCAGTCATGTGTTACAGTCACCCCGCTATGATAGGCCGCGTGAGCAGACCTTGGGCAGGGGGCACACGTGATCAAGGGGCATCAAGAGAGGGGGTGGACCATGGAGCACCCTCTCCATGGCTCCGGCCACCCTCCCCCCCAGCTGGTGCCGGCGCTGGACATGGCAGGGGATGGAGGCCTGGTGGCTCCCTGAACTGGGTTGTGGGTTACGTGGCAGCAGCCGAGGTAGGAAACGAGGCAGAAACGAAGGACGAGGAGCAAGGGTTTGGGCGCGGCAGGTTGGAAAGCAGCCACGTGGCGTCGACTGAATAAGACCAGGCACCTGTCATTAGTGTATTCTGCCAACATCAACACCAACCCTAAACATAACGGCGCTGCAGGGCAGCTGATGCCAGCATCAAATTACCATGCGAGGGAAGCTGGCGTGTAAGCAAAGCAAGTCACAATGGAGAGCAAAGCAAAGAGAAAAGAACAGATCAATTCGGCCGATCAACGGAAGCATCATGCCGACGCCAGCGTAGTGTTACAGAGCGCCGCACTGCCCGCGCCTCATGCCTGCTGCCGCTGCTCGCGCAGCGCCGCCAGCTGCGCGGCGCACCGCTCTAGCGCCGCCACCGACTCCCCGTCCTGCGGGTCCAGCGCCAGCGCAGCTTCCAGGTAGCTGCCCGCATCCTGCACAAGGAGGCAGCCCAGCGCAGGACCAGCATGTGCCAGGAGTAGGCAACAGGACACTGTGCACGTGCCACCACCCGCAACACCACCAGCACCAGCAGCAACACCCACCAACAGCAGCAGCACCACCACGCCTGCAAGGCCAGCCCACCTTGAGCAGCGCGCGCGCCTCCCGCAGGTCGCTGCCCAGCGTGCACAGCGCGGCGTCCAGCACCGCCTGGCCCCCCAGCCGCAGCGCCTGCACGTTCTGCAGGTCAGGGCGGGCGGGCGGGAGGAATGAGGGCAGGAAAGGCTCGCGCTGTTTGGCATGGCGGCTGGCTGCGCGCTGCAAGCCGCTGCCTCCAAGCCCCCTCCTTCCCACCCAGCGTTCCACCCGTACCTGCCCACCTCCCTCCAGCTGCCACGCTCCCCTGCTGCCACCCTCTCCTCCCTCCCTCCCTGCCCCACACCGGCACCAACCCCCACCTGCGGCTCCAGGTCCAGCGCCGCATCAAACTTGTCGGCGGCCAGGCCAAAGAGGCGGCCCGCCTCGGCGGCATCGCCTGCAGGCGGACAGCACACACGAGCGAACCTACTATTAGCATCTGCAGCTGCGCTGCCGCCCTGCCAGGGCAAGCATGAAGGGACCCACGCAGTACAGGCAAGGCAGGACAGTCGGGGGCCGCCCCGACACAAGCGCCCTGCCCCCGCACCTGCTGCACGCGCCATGTCTGCCCTCAGCCCCACCACCCGCCCCCAGTTGATGAAGGCCTTGGCCTGGGAGGGGTCGGCCTCCAGCACCGCCTTGTACTGCCGCCCTGCGGGGGGTACGGCGCATGCCAACACGGCGAAACGGGCAAATCGGGCAAACAGCAAGCAGCAGCAAGCGTGTTGCTCGTGGCACGCAGTGCTACGCTGTACAGGCTCTCCCCCAGCAGCCATCTACTGTACGCCCAAGCTCCGCCCACAGCAGCCCCCACCCCCACCCGCCAGCAGCAGCAGCTCCAGCGCCTCCCCCGCCAGCCGCTGCGCCGCCGCCGCCAGCGCCGCCGCCTGCGCCTGGTCGGCAGGCGCCGAGGCCGCCAGCGCGTCCAGCATCTGCTTCTTCAGCCGCCCGTGCGACAGCAGCGCGTTGCCTGCAAGCAGGCAGGGCATCGCGCGCCAGGCAAGCAGGCATGCATGAGACGGCCAGGCAAGCAAGGACAGCCAACGGGGACGACCGGAGGAGGGACCCCGGCTGCCGCCGGCTTGACGCCGGGTGCCACAGCTTTCCGAAGCCGCCGGCGCCGCCCCGCGCGCACCGTAGTTGCCTCGGGCGCGGAGGTTGGCGGGGTCGTGCTGCGCAAGCAGCTGCTCGAAACAGTCCGCGGCCTCCCACAGCGCCGAGTCAGCCAGGCCCAGGTCGGCGCCTGCGGGGGCCGAGGGGGGACGGGGTCATGGGAGGGAAACGGCACATGGCAAGCCAAGCAGGCAAGGAGGCAGCATGAGGCAGCGGGAGGCAAGCAGGAGGGCGAACGGTCAGAGAGAGCGGGAGGGGGCATAGCTGCCGGCAGCCAGCGGTGCACAGGCGGGGGCATGCCGGCAGCAGAAGGCGGCGGCAGCCCACCTGGCGTGGCGGCCAGGGCGCGCCCCTCCCGCAGCCGCTGCACGCCGCGCTCGTACAGCTGCTCGGCTGTCGCCTGCGGCGGCGCCTCCTGCTGCTGCTGCGCCGGCTCCTCGGCCTGCGGCGGCGGCGTCGCAAGCTGCTGCTGCCACTGCTGCTGCTGCACGTCCTGCTGCTGCGCGTCCTGCTCCTGCCGCTGCTCGCTGTAAGCTGCATTTGGCGCCTTTGCGCCTGTGTATGGCACCTCTGCCGCCGCTGCCTGCTCCTCGCCCTGCCACCTGGCGGAGGCGGGCTGGCCATCCTCGAAAGCTGCATCATATGAGGCAGCTGCCACCGCAATCAGCTCCTCTTCCACTGTCAGCCCCACGGCCGCAGCAAATTCGATCTGCCCCTGCACGCCGCCGCCGCCGCCACCGCTGCCGTTACCGCTGGGCATGGGGCCGGCGGCGCCAGGAGCTGCGCCGGGAGGGGCTGCAGCCAGCGCAGCGGCGCTGCCGTTGCTGCTGGCGCTAGCCGTGGCGGCTGGCAGGGCGCCGTTCTCCCGGTGGCCCGACAGCCACTCTGCAAACGCTTTGCCGCTGGAGGCGGGGGCGCCGGCGTCCTCGCCGTCTGGCCGCCGCTCGCTCTGCTGCTGCAGCAGCAGCTGCATGCGGCGGTACGCCGCCTCCTTGCCCTCCTGCCCCGCTGGCTCTGCACCAGCATCGGCCGCTGCATCTGCGCCCTCCTCCTGCCGCTCCTTCTGCTCCTCCTCTTGTTGTTGCGCCGCCGGGTCGACTGCCGAGCCAGCGGCGGGGCTGGGGGTGGGGGCCGCCGCCACCGCCGCCATGCCCGCCTGCAGCGACTCCAGCTGCTGCCCCATGCCGTCCAGCCGGGCGCCCAGCGCCGCCAGCGACTGCTCCAGGGCGGCTGCTGCCGCGGGCGAGGCGGCGCCGCCTCCGGCGGCTGCCGCCGGTACCGCCGCGGCCGCGCTGGCCGCGCCAGGTGGCGCGTCCCGCAGGAAATCAAACATGGCTTCCAGGGCAGCTTCCAGCTGCTGCTCCAGCGCCACAAAGGAGGCGTACCGCGGGTCGTCGCCGTCCAGGTCCTGCCTCAGCAGTACAACCTGGTCCTGTACCGCCTGTACCGCCGCCGCCACGCCCGCCAGCGCACCCGGCGGCAGGCCGACCGCAGCACCGACACTGCCGCCAGCAGAGGCGGCGGCGCCGCCGCCGCCGCCCAGCCGTTGCGCCTCCAGCAGCTGCTGCACTGAAGAGGTGAGGGAGCCCAGCTCTGAGCGGAGGCCCGCCAGCTCAGCAGCCACCGCCGCCACCTCAGCCGTGGCCGCCGCCGCCGCCGCCCCGCTGCCCTCGCCGGCGGCGCCCTCGCCGCCGCCACCTGCCCCGGGCGCCGCCGCCGCCGCCTGCAGCGCGGCCAGCTCGTGCAGCTGCTCCTGCAGGGAGGCCAGGCGGACGCCCAGCTGGTTCCACTGCTGCGGCGCGATGGCCTGCATGGGCAGCGGGGGCCGGCGGGGTCAAGACTCATTGCAACACAGCTACTAGTGAAATTGAGAACATGCGGTCTCAATCTATCCGGCCAGCTGGTGCAGTAGGCTCAGGCAGCCTCACTCGCCAGCCGCAGGGCCTCTCAGGGACAACAGCTTCCGCCTGACCGCCACCCGCCTCGCAACACACCACACCACATTTAACCACACAAGTCAAACCACACCACACCACGCCACACCACACCATACAAGTCAAAACCACACCCACCCCACCACACCACAGCCCACCTGCGGCGTCCCCGCCAGCTCCTCCAGCAGCGCCGCCTGCTGGTCCAGGATGTCGCGGGTGGCGCCCGCCAGCGCCTCGCCCACCACCTGCCGCAGCCCCTCCTCGCTCAGGGACGGCTGCGCGGCAAGGGGCGCAGGCGGGGGACGCGGCACGCGGCGCTCAGGGGGCGCTGCCGGCAGGGGCAGCTGCGCTCCTCTGGAGGGCTCCACAGGCCTGGCCAGGCCAGGCCCACACCAGCGCCTGCCATCACGGCCGCACCACAGCACTGCCGCGGGCCGACCCAGACCACCGGCCCTCCACATCACCACCATCTTGCCACCACCACTCAGCACAGCCCCAACTCACCAGGGATCCATCCAGCGGCGCCAGTACCTCGGGCGTGACCGGTACCGCGCTCTTGAGCAGCTCCGGCAGGCGGCGCAGCGGGTCCAGTGAGCGGTACGCCTCCTCCCGTACCGCCGCCTGCGCGCGGCCGGGGCCAGCAGCGGCAGCAGGGCGACGCTCACCGGCAGCGGCAGCGTTGAGAATGGCGGCGCTGTGTGGCAGCCAGGCAGCATCTCAGCACGTCGGCACAGACAGAGGCAGGCGGAGGAGGAGCAGGGACATGCAGAGGCGGGCTGGCAGGCAGCAGCGGCCGGGTCAGGGGCGGCAGTCAGGCATAGCCATACCTGCAGCGCCCCCTCCGCGTCAAGCATCGCCGCCTGCAGCCCGCTGCTGAGCCGCATGAGGCCCTCGCTCTGCGCCGCCTGCAGCCCGCCCACCGCCCCCTCCAGAGCCTGCGGCAGGGGTGGGGCGGGCGGTGGGCGAGGGCGAGGGCGAAGCGCAGTTCGGTTCGACGCGGCAGCAGCGATGGGTCCCGCAGCACCGCAAGGCTGCAGCCGACGAGCCCAAGGTTTTCAGCCGCACAGCTGGAAGCCCCAACTCCCTGCTGCAACACAAGCAGCCCTGCCAGCCCGTCCTCACCGCCAGCTGAGCCTCGATGCGCGCCAGCGACCGCTGCTCCTCGCCACCGGCCGCCTGCAGGGCGCCTGCGGGGCGTACGGAGGCATCGAGGTGGGCGCGCCTCAACCCTGCTGATGGGCACAGCTCACCCCTGCTGATGGGCACGAGTCACCCCCGCTGGCCCTCGACCAGCGGCAGCTGTGGGCAGCGGAGGCAGTAGAGGCAGCAGCTCCCATGCACGGCTCACGGCGCAACAAACACAAGGCAGCGGCGCGGCCGCCGCCGCCCGCCCAGCCAGCCAGCCCACCGTAGACGTCCCGCCTCAGCGCGGTGCCCAGGTCCTGCAGCCGCCGCATCACACTGTCGGCCACCTGCCCCTGCTGCTCTGCGCTCGCCTGCAGCGCTTCGCGCGTGGCGGCACCTACATGGGGTGACAGCGGCGCCCGCGTGATTGGGGAGGGTGTGGGTGTGGGCAGCAACAGGCAAGGGAAACCGGTCGATTGGTGTCCCACAAGGGACACGCAGGGCACCCTGCGCCACCTCTCGGTTAGCTTACTGCTTCCGGCGCCGCCACGCAGCAGCCCCCCTGTCGCCACTCACGCACCTGTGCCCACCACCGAGCCCTCCACGGCCGCCAGCTTGGCCTCCACCCCGCGCAGCAGCTTGGCCGTCTCTGCCGAGCTGGCGCCGCCGTCTGCCGCGCGCTGCCGCTGCACCTGCGCCAGCAGCTCTTGCACCTCAGCACCCACCTCCGCCGCCACCTCGTCAGCCGTCTCTACCTGCAGCTCCAGCAGCAGCAGCTCCAGGCGGCGCAGCTGCGCCTGCTGCTGCGCCGCCACGGCCAGCCGCTCGCGCTGGCGGCTGGCGTAGAGGGCCAGCAGCGGCAGAACCACGGGGGCGGCCGCCAACATGGCTTCCTGAGTCAGGATGAAGGCTACCGCTGTGCCCACAGTGCCCAGCCAGGCCGAGGTGTCCACCGCCGTCCAGAAGGTGCGCCAGCCGCTGCCGGCGTCTGCAGGCTCCGACGCGGCCGCAGGTGGCGGCGGGGCTGGCGGCGGGGTGTAGGCGGCGGCGGTGCGCTCCTCCCGCCGCCCGCCGCTGCGCGCCGTGATGCTGGCGGGCGGCACGGCCGCTCGCCTGGGTCGCCTGAGCCGCACGGGGGCACCAGGCAGCGCAAAAGCTGGCCGCATCGCTGGGAATCCGCCCGGTAGGGCAAAGCCCCGCAGCTGCGGGGCTGCCATTGGTGCAACAACTGCAAATTGACTCCGTGCACCACTTGTAGGGGCTCCAGGCTTGCAGCAAAGGTACCCAGTCCAGGGGGTGGCAGGCCCCCCACCAAATGCAGCAGCCCTCGGCCTGTGGAAATGAGTGGGTGTGTGCTTTGGCGTCTGCAGCAGCCTGAGAGGCCATGCATCCTCCTCCCCCCATCCTCCTGGTGCCATTTTTGCTGACGTGTCTGGCGACCCACAAAGCCCACCGCCTTTCCATCATTTCCTGGTCCCAGAAGGCGGCTTATCCGGTATAAAGGGTCTAACAATAGCAAAGGCAGCCGTTCACTGGCGAACGCAATGCAAACCTCGCTTCATTGCGGGTGCTGCGCCCGCCAGCCACACCAGTCGTCCTACACAGAAGCCATAGTTGTACGCCGCAATAGAGAGGCGGTCAGGGCCACGAAAGTGAGGTGCTCCGGCGGCGGCAACGGCACACCGCTGGCGGGCTCCGAGCAGGGAGCCGCTCGCCCCCCAGCACTGCCCCGCAGCAGAGGAGCAGCTGCCACACAGACAGGGCAGCCAAGCGCCAGTCCCCTGCTGCGCCACATGCCGCTAGGCGCCGCCGCCGTGGCGGCGTCCCTGTCGGCCGCCGCCGCGGCCTGCGCAGCAGACGCCGCACCCGACGCGGCGGCAGCGGCGGCTGCGACGACGGCAGCTGCCAGCGCAGCCTATGTGCCTGGACCTGTCAAGGTCGGCTGGGAGGTGTGGGTTGGATTTGTGGCGGGCGTGGTGCCCTTTGCCATCGCCTCGTTCGAGTTTGGAAAGCGAATCGTGAGTGGCCGGCGGGCGTGGCGCCCCTCCTGCCGCTTCTGCCGCCAGCATGCCTTGCTGACTGCGCCATCTCCAGCGGTAGCGGCGCTGCACAGCCGATGCGCACGCCTCAAGCAGGCAGCTGACAGACGCCCGGCGATGGCGCCGCG